TGGGGGGCCCCCCCCCCCCCCCCCTTTTACATCACAATTCTCCCTTTTACATCAGAGTTTTCCTTTACATCAGTACTCCCATTCACATTAGAAGCCTCCACTTTTTACATCAGAATCTTCCCTTCACATCAGGAGCTCACCCATATTAGAATTCCCCCTTATACATCAGATTTCCCCCCACATTAGAGTCCTACCATCAGAAAGTTTTAAGGCACCCCTGAGGAAGCCGGAAGGCACCCTGGCATGCCACGTCACCCTGGTTGAGAAAAGCTGGTGTAGAGAGTATGACACTGAGCTTTATGTGCAGAAGAAGAGTGCAAAGAGTATAATGGCGAGCAGTGTGTGTGCAAGATAAGAGTGCAGACACTATGACAGCAGGCAGTAAGTGGACAGAAGATGACAATGAGCAGTGTAAGCAGAAGAAGAGTGCAGAATATGAGCAGGAGAGAAGTGTTGACGCTATGACAGCAGGCAGTTTGTGCAGAAGAAGAATGTTGAGGGTAAGAAAGCGGGTGAGTAGCTGTATAGGAAATTAGAGGGCAATGTTGGCAAAATTTGCCAGGAAAAATAATCAACTTTGCTGCAAAAAAGGAACTGTGGATTGGTGATAGGGGGTTGGAGTGGGGATTATGAACTGTTAGCTGCAGGCTAGAAACAGGAATAGGTGGCACAGCTGTGTACTTGCATGAAGCATTCAGTGGTATTAGGCTTTTCTCCACCAGCTCCCTCTGCCATTCCTACAGGTTATCTACGGGCACCTGCAGGGAAAGGACCAGGCTGCAGCCGCTATCGTGAAGCTTGTCCCTGCCAGCTCTCTGTGCTCTGCATTTGTCCAATGTCAGCCACTGTGAGTGGGGAAATGAGATGGCCAGGTAGGGGTGCGTGTCACTGCAGGGGTGACATGGCTGAGTGGGATCAATGGGAGGCGAGGTAAAAGGGGAGGGATGTGTGTCAGTAGGGAGATGAGGCAGCCAGATTTGCAGCAAACACCCTGAACAGCGCTGTTACTTGGAGCACTGTGCAAAAGGAGTGTCAGTATGCTTGAGTCCTGGTTTGCTGCTTTGTGTGCAAAAACAGCACTGCGGCTCTACAGTGTGCTGCTGAAGGAGGGTATTTACACCCCCTGTTGCTGCACTTAGTATGTAAAAATACACAGAAAGAAGAGCATATTCATACCTGTATATGCACCCTGGCTAATAAATAGCAAGGCTTTATTTGGCCTTTAAAATCAGTGTATGAGAAGTTTTTTTCCTGTGTAACCTCAAGACCCACATTTGTCCTTGGTCATTAAGTCGTGACCGAAGTCGCACTGCAATGGAATGCACAGCATTGTGGTACTGCACGTTCCGGTGTGGGCGATTTTACTGTGGGCGGGAGGTACATTTGGGGTGCCATTCAAATGAACGCACCAGAATGCGTAGTAGGTATGATTGCATGGTGCAGTGCATTAATGGCGCAGGTCTGTTCGATTAACGCACTTTACTACTGTGAACGGACACACACAACCACAGACAGAATCTCACACACATATACACACTTTTTTTTTTTTTTTTTTAAGATCCACCCAGTCTTCCTACCTTACAAGAACTGGAGTGGATCCTCATCCTGGGGCCCAGTGTGGGCTGCTATGCTGTGACGGAGCTCCATCTATATGTGCATTGCTCATACAGCTCCCTTGCGCACCCTGTTGAGGTGGCAGGAGCCAGAATGTGATGGAGCGGCCATAGCTCCACCTCACCTCAAGCTAACACTCGGCACCGGGCAGCATATTTTGAATGGCTGCTTGGCCGGAGAACTAATATTGCTGCGCTAGGGGGAGGCAGAGGAGCCTCTCACCCAGAAAAGTAGAAGTCATGCGGCGACCCACTTTTGGGTCACGACCCACCAGTTGAGAACCAAGGTATTAAAGTGTATAAATGTATACAGATGGTAGGTATGTTTACAGCCATTTTTAGGTACAAGTGGTGACAACATTTGTATGTCGTTTTCTAATATCATTGGAAAACGTTAATAGGGTTGCATATGAATGGTTGTTTGTGAGAGGGAGGCTCAAAGCTGGTAACCTGCATAGGGCCTAGTTTGATCTTAAAGGAGAACTATGGGGTCAGGGCTTTTCCCCATAGTTCTCCTTAGGGTAACGGGAGGACACAAACTAGCGTCCTCCTGTTACCCTAAGCTCAGTAGCTCGCAGTATACTGAGACGCCGGAGCGGATCCCGACATCGACGTCGAGATCCGCCCAGCTGCGTGAGTGACAGCTGGCTCTGCCTATCTAGAGGCAGAGCCAGCTGTACCCGCCCCCTCCCCCGTCCGATCCGCC